TGCATCTGTCACTTTCTCATATTTTAGATATGCTCCTACAAAGGTCTGCAAAACTTCTGATAAGGCTTGCCATCAACTAAAAAAAGTTCAAACTGCATTTTGCTACCTTCTCATACATCTTATCCTTGCCTTCTATTTCTCATCTATAAGAAGAAACATGTTACTAATGTGGCAATGATATCTAGGGATCTTTGGTTCATTGTTTTTGTTGCTTATTCTTTTATCTTCAAATTCTACACAATCCACATACAGTAATTCAGAAATTTCATCAATCTCCCTTCTACAGTGTTTCTTTTTTTATTAAGTTCATTGGTATATTTTAGGTACACGTAATGATCAGTTCATCATAGGAAACTTATACCTGTACATACTTCTTTCTCATGGGAAGTTTTTATATTTTAAGAGTTTTAAGGGTAGTCCATTCATAGCATTCCAACTTTCCATCTACGATTTAGCTTTTCACTAGACAAAACGTCTCCCAAAAATATGTCATCAGTTTGATTTTTAAATATTTTTGTTTATTATTGTCTGCCTCAATGAACATGAATTGCATACTTTTACCAATTTTATAGAATTTTTTTATTTGTTTCATCATTTTCATGTTATTTTCTCTGATCAGGAATTAGCTTTTCTTTTGTCTGTTGAATTCTTGCATGCATCTGTTTAATATTTCTTTAGAGGTTTTCTAAAGTCTACATGATATATTTCAAATTCTAGCATTTTAAAAGCTAGTTAATTATTTTAAAAGTTATATATTAGCAATATTATTTTATTTTCACAGATGTCTTACATGGAGCCATGTACATATGTGTATCTATACAAGTATATATAATATTTTTCTTACATCAACTTATGCAGAATATGCAGTGATAACATTTATGAAGTCACTCAGAAACTGACAAATATTAAGTCTGAAATTGATCATATATGGCAATACAGTTTGATACTAGCTCTTAATATATTAGTACTATATTTTGTCAAAAGAACTTGGGATATTAATGTATACATATAATTTTAAATTTTGGATTTTTATAATTTATTTTGTGACTTCCAACAAAGATACTGACAAATGAGAATTTTAGAAAATATATTTTAATAGCTACGTAGAAATAAGTGAAGCAAAAAGATATTGCTGAATTCATTGTGTTAAAACTCACTCACTGTATAACATATTTGAGTTCATTTTTCAAACATTTTACTTTAGAACAGATTTAGATTCATAGGTGTGAAGATAGTACAGAGATCCCATAAATCTTACATTCATTTCTCCTTGTTATTAGTATTCTACATTGTGATGCTGCATATACTATATTCTATTCTGATATGTATCATTAACTAAAGTTTGTTCTATACTTATTAAAGTTTATTTCTCTAAATGCATTAAATTCAGTGAATGAAATTTGAATAAAATTGCAGAATTGTTAAAACACCTCCCTGAATACTTTTGTTTCTGTGGAATACAACAAAATCCCATTATTTTCTCTTTTGGTTTCACGACTCTTATCTTCCTAAATTTATTCTCCCTTTTGCAAATTTTGTTTCTCAATAAAGAATTACCGCATTTTTAATTTCCTAAGTAAAATGAATTGCTTAAAACCTCATGCTTATATTGCTGTTTGCTTATACTTTCCTTTTCTCTTTATGGAGCTACTGGACTTTGATTAATTCCCTAAAACATAAGGTAAGAACTTTCTATTCTGTGGTTTTATTACTAAAGTTGCTAAAAATCAGTTTTTAGTGGGTTTTAATATTGTCTTTTTTCATCAAGTGAAATATATGTGTGTGTGTGTGTGTGTGTGTGTGTGTATGTACACATATATATGAAATTTCATTTAACCATTGCAACTATTAGCATTTTATGTGATTATTTTAAGTTTTATAATTTAATATTACAATTAGCCTTACTATGAAAATAATTAATTCAATAAAATAAGTAACATGATTTCTCAAGCACTTTGAGAAACTTCCAACAAAGTTATTATTCATGTTTTAAGTGTTGATTTTGTTATTCACATAACTTCATTTTGATTTAAATTGCTAATAGTTTACAGCTCTTTAATATTTCTCTGAGCAGGGGAAAAGAGTATAGCATTTAATTTTGTCCATTTGATTTTAAAGTCTGGTAAAGAAAAATTACAAAATGTCAGATAAAGGTTTTTTTGGTAGAATTAATGACTTTGCTAAATTATTTTTTCCTTTACGAAGTGAGTATATGATAGAATTGTTGTATCCCAATGCATGAAGGTAATAAATCCAGTTCACATATGGAGTTCAATAGAAATTTTAACCCTCAAGTCCATTACTATGCAGCTAAAGTATACTGGAAATTGAAAAGGGTTTTTAAACTTGTTAGTAGTTATTAGTTTTCCTTGTAGCAGTAGTTATTGGCATTTGTGTAGTAGCTAACATTTATTGGTTTCTTATTCATCATCTCATTTAATCCTGACAGAAATCCATTTCTGTTGCAACTAAAAGCATTATCTTTATTTACAGCTGAGGAAACGGAAAGTCTGAATGATTAGGGGGCTTAAGTAAGATTTTACAACTGTTTATGTTGTAGGAGAAAATAAGCACTAAAATCTCAAAGGAATTCTAGAATACTTTTTCCTTGAAACAAATCTATTTTCACTTTGTGAGCACTTAATATTTTCTAGATTACATGCTAGATGTGGTGATGCCAAAAAATCTTATTTTCTTTAATATATAGTGATGTTGCAAAAAAAGTAATTCTACCTTTTGTAACCTTTCTCTTTGTTCTTGTTGATAAAGATAGTAAACAATGGTCTAACAAATGCTGCATATGGAAGAATATTAAAACAAATCAAATTTTGGTGGCATAAATTATAGAGAAAAGTTCATGCAGGTTGTTTTAAGTAACTTATTAAGACCTTAACTAGGACTGAAATGAAACAGTGGCAGCAGGAGAGTGAGAATAACCATAATAGCCAATTCAGAATAGCCAGAATATGCAGTCAAGCTAGATTTCCATTAGTCAATGAATGGATAAGCAAATTATTGTACATAATGAAAATTAAATATCATGTGGCAATAAATCAAAATAGAATCCTGTTAGCTGCAGCAATATGGATGGGGTAGAAGGACATAATGTCAATTTTGGCACAAACACATATATTACATGATCTTACTCATGTAGAAACTAAATAAATTCATCTGTTAGAATTAGAAATTAGAATATTGTTTATCAGAGAAAAAGATGTGTAGAAAGAACAAAAGAGTAAATAATTCAGTGCAAAACTATAAGGGGCAGAATAAATTCTAAGTTTTTTTTAGCACAGCAAGGTGACTATAGCTAATAATAAAATTTATTGCATATTTTAAAAGTTAGAAGAAGGATTGTGAATGGTCCCAACACCGAGCAATAATAACTGATATTATTATAGTCTAATTACATTGATTTGACATTATATATTTGACATGTGTCAGGATAACACTGTGTAACAATTATGTAAAATATATATTTATCAATAAAATAGTGAAAACGCAAAACTAAAATGACACATATTATCAAGAATTATATCATTGACATATATTGTCAAGAATTTCCATCAGAAAACATTTAGAGCAAGTGAGGAAAAATGTGTAATTGAGGAAAGCTATTTAAAGTTCTCTTCCTCAAGACAAGACGTGGTAGAACTAGGATAAATTGAGGAGGGAGGTGTGTTGTGCTGTACTTTTATCAATATGGCTTCCTTTCTTATCACTACTTTCCATTCTTATTTATTGAACCATATCTAAATTTCAAATCTGATTTAACTCCCTATATTCCCTTTTCTTTGAGTCAATATTGCAATTCAGGGGCAGACACTTATCACACTGGAAAAGAAAATATTTTCAGAGACAATCTGCAGAAAGAGTTTTTATGTGTATAAGTTCAGGAAAATAGGAATCACCAACAATGTATAAAAAGTTAAACAATAAAAGAGTAGAAAATACAGAAAATGAGGACAGACAAGAAAAGTTGGTATTTTATTAAATGAAGGAAAGTATTTCAGGCTGAATTACAAGGGCTTCATTTCCAGCTTCTCTGGCATCAGAATCACTTCTCCCAGCAGGCAGCTTAGCATGTGAAAGCCACTGGCCATCGCTATGTGCAGATGTTAGGTAGCTGCCTTGCCTCATCTTGGAATAGTCCTGGGAAGAGGTTGATACTCTCTTGTTTCAGACAAACAGTTTGTTAAAAAAAATAGGAACAATTCGTGGTGAAAAAAAAAAAAATGTGTGCTTGTGGAAACTGAAAAGTTGCTTTTCAGCTGATCAGTTTGTGCCAGCATGGAAAATAATAAGCCATATGGTTTCCAATTGCTTACTCAGTACAAATTGTCAACTTTCCTACTTGAAAGAAATTGTGAACTTAATAAAGACAAAAATATTTGCTCTCTCGCTACCTGTACAAATTGACTAAGTCATCAGTCCAGACAGTCTGCCTTCTAACCAGTCTGTATGTACTGTGTGTTGGTCAAATAGAGACTCAACTTTGTCCTTCTCCTCCTTTTAGTATACAAAGTTCTGCCTTAATTATAGACCAGATTCTAAATATTCCTACAAAATTCTGCTTTAAAACTAGGTGACCAATACAAAGTACAGATTGACAAATTGTAAAACTTCTACCAAACCTATTTTCTTGAAGTTTCTGTAGATGTCCACAAAGGAATTATTTTCCATTTTTTGATAGTTTAGCGATGAAAATAATACAGGTCACTTGCTAATCATAGATGAAATAGAAAATCTTTTAAAATTCAGAACAGTTAAACATTTGGAAATTACTGTGATACAAAGAAATAATAAGCATTTCATTAATAATGAGAAAATTTTACAAATATTTTCCATTAGCTATTGTATTATCTTAGTTACATCATTTGGTCTAAAGCTCAGATTATTGTAAACAACCTTATAAAAATTTTAACTGTTTTGTATAATTATCCGCATTCTTTTTTACAGTGTCCATTAAGAAAAAAATATTTGTCTAAAATATCACTAACCTCTATGGGAAAGCAGTTTGTCAAATGATTCACCCCATTTCATTGCTTCTTCGGGAGAGACACTGTTCAAGAGACAAAATGTTTTATAATAGAGTCTGCGGAAAGTCTGTTTATGAATCGGTTCAAACATGTGCTAAGTTACTGCTCTTTTCTGTTAAATTGAACAAGGTTTTTAAAATTTTTATATCATGAAAGTCATATTTAAGTTAGAAATTTAAAAAGCATTGGTCAGTTTTCTTTTAAAATTTGCCTACTAAACAGTGTATTAATATTATGAATTTTCTCATGGGTATAATTTTTTAAGAAAGGGAAAATAATTACAGATTAAGTTAGATGTCACTTAAGTTAACCCTAAAAAGGTCAACTATTTTAAATTCAGTAATCATGAAAACCTAAACTTAAAAAAAATATCTTTTGGTCAAACATTTTTCCTGCAATTTCCTTGAACCTCTAACCACAATATGCTACAATTTTTTTTTAAACAGATACAGTTAAGTTTGACTAATAAAGTTGCAAAGGGATAAAAATATATATAACATAATTTTAAAAATTCAACAAATACTTTAGGGATGTTGATAATGTAAAAAGTTGAACTTTTTACTCAATCCTTAGTTGGTACATTCAAAATTAAAAGATTTGCATTAGAATAGTTTAGGAAGCTAAGCGTATTCTATTTTTTGAATTAAATGCTAAAACTACAAAATGTTATTTATTTCTGCATTATTATACTTCATGTATTTTTTCAAACTCTTGAGGAAAGAGATGGTTAGCTCTTTTCTATGACATTTCATTGTGAAAAAATGAATATTATATGTTTATATGAAGCAAAATACAGTGTTCAAAGTGAACTTGTATCTATTTTAAATAATGCATTTAAATGTTCATATATTATTCAATTTAAGCTATTAGTTTTTAAGTTTTACATTTAGTCCTACTTTCTCAAAATGAGATTTCTTTCTTTATATCACTGCATAAATTCCAATACAATATAAATTTATAATTTCCTATATCTTTAATATTTAATTACAGAATTAGCAAATCCTCCCCCTGAACACCAAAAATTATTCACCTTGTTTCTTTGGCCAAGGGACCAGTACTGCTCGAGTGAGCTTCTTCATGTAATTCAGCTTTCTGTAGGAGAAGACTTAGCCTGTTCCTTTTATCCTTAGCTCTGTAAAAGACAGCAGTAGCTTTAGAAAAAAATTATATGACACGTAAAATTGCTTCTTCTGCCTACAAAATGAGTCAGACATTGTTAAATACCCGCCCACACAACCCCACACACATGCACAAACATTTTAAAATCATTTAAATGTTATGTTTGCAAATGAATTAGGAGAGCGTATGTTTAACATGTTCTTCTGTGCTTCAGGACAAATAAATACTTGAGGCTATATTTCAGCCAAGATTACTGTAGTTCTTTTGTGTGGGTAAAATTGCTACACTTTTTAAAAGTGAGAGCACTTTAGACGTGAGTTGTTTACTCCTAATAAATTTTGAGAGGTTATTTTTCAATTGCAGTTCAGCCTTGTATTTCAAAAGTAACTGCTAACAAATAATTCAATATCAATCATGTTTTAAAAAGCATAAATGGATTAAAAATTTAGAATTTTACCTGATTTTGACTTCTTTACTTGTTTCTTCTTTTCCTGTACAATGCATTAGCTTGAAGAAAGTCTTTTCTTTTGATTCACACATATTTAAATGAGAAAAGAAAACTAATGATGTTTCCATTTTCTCCCTCCAAAATAAAGAAATATCTAATCTATTACATTGTTCTCTAGTTCATGGGTTAATGCTATACCATACTTATACAAGGTAGAAGAAAGAGCTGTCTCAACTCTATCAGCAAAGTGCATGCGTGCACACAGACATACACACACACACATACACACACGTCAAGAGCTTTGTTTCTGTCCGTGCAAAAATGTAGAACTGAGGAACTGAAGTACAATTTTGACCTAAGCTGTTTAAGGAAATGATATTACACATTTGCAAAATAACTGTTGGTTTCCAAGATAAAGACTGGTATTACCACAGCCCAACTTCTCTTTCAAGTTTGTGCAATCAGAATGATTCTTTAATAGACATTGTCATTTCCCTTAGAAACTTTCAAAAAATACTTTAATGTGCACTAAAATATACTGTGCAAAAACATTGTATCAAACATTAGAAGATATTTTTTCCTTTTCCCAAAAAATGCAATTCTATTTTTAGTATATTGAGTTAATTAAATTACATTTAATTCACAATATGCAATTTAGTCTTAGTTACATTTGCCTAACACATTGCATCAAAATAAGATTATCAATAAAAGTTTTGTAATTGAAAGAGACAATGTAAAGCACTTAATTCAGCAGTTTCTAACCATAATCCATATGGAGATTGTGAATAATTTTGAATTAATATGCACCGCAATAGAAAAAAACAGTATGAAATGGTTTTAATCTCAAAGCTATGCTCTTATTTTTTCCATTTTTTGATTAGTGCATGCTCATAGTACATGATGTCTGTATTTCTTTTGGGGAAAGGGTGCACATGTAAATTATTATTTATATATTAATATATTAATTTCTTTTTCATTTTCTAGCCCATCTCTCTCTCTCCTCCCTCCATTGAGCTCTTAATCTGTTTCCTTTTTTTTTTCTGTGCAGTGCAAACTGTTTACATTCCTGTGTGTAAATGGTGCATGTACATAACACATCTTAATTCCTTTTAAAAATCCCCTTTTCTCCCTTCCTTCTATACTCATTTTGAAACGATAATGAATTTTTCTATTTTGAATTTGCCCTCTTGATATTTTTGTTAAAATATCTTTTCGATATTTTAATTAGAGATGAAAGTTTGTGTTTTGGTTTTTGCAAAGAAATACTGAAAAATCTGAAATTTTTCAGTCTTCACTATTTTCACTATTACTGATATACAAAGATCTGAGAAATGCTGATCCATAATTCACCAAAAAGAAATCAAGTATTCTGAAAAGCTTAAGAGAGAGGACAGTGGAAGATCCGGAACTAGCAGAGCCTTTGATCATTAATGGCACGTGCATTAGTCTTTCCAGGAGGATTTGCTTTCCAGTAGTGAATTATTTCACTCATCTAGAATTGTATAAGAATCCAAGCTCCACATTGTAAATATTAATGTATTTGCAGTATTTTTGAATTTTTGTTCACTACTAAAATAGTTATCACAGATATCAACTTGGGGTTCAAAACACTTATTAATTTGAAGTTGAAGAATACTTAATATATGTTTATATAGGCCCTCCTGTGGATAAACAGCATGGGCAGGGAAAAGTGGCCAGTCTAATCCCTGCATACATGTGAGCTACAATAGGGACTCGTCAGCGGGTAACTAATGCAAGCCAGGAGAACCTGCCAGCAATGCCTTGGAGGAACCACTAGTGTCTAGAGAACCATGCCCTACAGCTACTTTCTCCTGGGGAACCTGGGATAAGAGAAATCAGGTGCCTAACACTCTCCTGCACTGTGAACAGGTAGCCAACATGGGAAGTGCCTGGATTCCCACAACTTATCTATCTGGAGGAACTCAGGAAAATGTCAAGACTAAGGAACAAAAGGCATCTCTGGCCTCCAGCCCAAAGTCCAAGAGCTGTGAACATGGCAGAAAGCATAAGTTGCACAGATAAAATTTCTAGGATGATGGTAACTGATGTAAAGAAACTGCTTCTGTAAAATAAATGAGAAAAGAAATAATATCTCAGGTAAAAGAAGGAATGACAAACATAATAAAAGAGTTTCTGAGTGTATCTAAAGAAGATATAGAAAAAAAGGAGAATAAGAGAAGGAGGGAAACCTTAAATGAACAGCATAGAGAAAAAATGAAATGCATGAAATAGACTGAAAGAGATATCCAGGAAATTAAAACTCTATTGAAAGCTGGCAAAACCATATGAAAGAAACTGAAGATAGACTTTTAGAACTTGGAGACAAGATAGCAGCCTAGCAATTGCGAAGGAAAAGAACTCTTAAAAATTATTTCCTAGGAACCAGGAAATAATTCAACAGGTGCAAGATTATAAAAGCACAGTATTTTAATAATGATAAGTGTCAGTGAAAAAGCAGGAGTCAACACAAATCATATAAAAAACTATTTGAACAAATGAAAACAGAGAACTTCCCAAACTTGGGAAAAGGACCTGACATACAGACAAGTGAGGCATATAGAACTCCAACTAGCCATAACCAAAATAAGTCTAAACCCAGGCATATAATAATCAAGATCTCAGAAATTCAGCACAAAAACAGAATATTAAAGGCTGTTAGATAACCTACAAAGGAAAACTTATCAGAATCATGACAGACTTCTCAACACAAATCATTAAATCAAGAAAAACTTGAAGTATTTTAAGTCCTGAAAGAAAACAACTTCCATTCCAGAATGATATACCCTGTCAAACTCTCTTTCAATATTGATAAATAAGATACTTCCATGATTAAGAACAACTGAAGGGATTCATGTCCACCAATCCAACTCTACAGAAAGTACTAAAAAATATCCTACAGAGAGATAACAATGACCATGATCCCAGGAACAGCAGCAATTTGAGATCACTGAATAGGGCAGCCAGTGGACTGGAGGGGAAAATTAGGAAGCCAAGAGCATCAAAAGGAATGTAAGAGATGGACCAGTGCATGTAGGCTGTAACTATTAATGTAGATGGCCTCAATTCATCGAAAAAAGAAACACAGGCAGAGTGGATCAAGAAACAAGATACATTAATATACAGTATATGATAAATGCATTAACTAAGAGGAAATTTACAGATGGAAGGTCAAAGGAGGAAAAACATTGCTCCAGTGATAGGGCCCCAGACAATAAGCAGAGATATCTTGCCTGTCAACCATAGAACAAATAGGAAAGATATGAAATTTTTAAAATGAAAACCTACTCAGCTATAAAGAAGGATAATCATGAGGATGTTGTAGGTAAATGCTTGCAACTTGTGATCATGCTGTAGAGTAAAATGGTTCAGACTCATATAAGTGAACATCATATTTTCTCCCTAGTACAAAAAGCTGAGGGAGTTAGAAGGATTCAAAATGTACAATAGATATTGTGAAAGGTAAAGGGGAGGAAATGTCTAAAAGGGGAAAGTGGTCGCTGTTGTTAATTCTCTATTATTTTGTTTTAAAGTCATGTATCATTTTATTGTTTCCTTTTGTTTTGTATTATATTTGGTTTGGTTTGATTTTATTATATCTGATGGCCTGGGCAGCTTTTTTTAATATAACAAGATATATTATTGTAACCATTATGGATTTCCTATTATCTTATTTTGAAATTCTGTATCTTTTTCACTATTTTGTTTTGATTGGTTTATTTCTGTTTTATTTGATTTGATTTCATTATGTCTGATGATATGGACAGCTATTTCGAAGATAATAAGAGGCATTATGGCAGCCATTATGGATTTACTAATATCTTGTTTTGAAGTCCTGCATTGCTTTAACTGTTTTGTTTTAATTGGGTTTATTCTGTTTTAATATATTTGGTTTTATTCTCTTAAAATAAATAAATACACACACATACAAATACAAATATCCTCCAGATTATGCTTTGTACATATGTTTAAATTCTTCAGCTTGACTGAAAATAGTCTGTTAAAGTATTTTATACGACAGCATTTTATAACAACTATATATATATATAACTGGATAGCAAGAATGTCTATGTTTCTGTACTGATGATTTCCTAGTACATTTTAGTACCCTTATGATTATATGAGGCTTTTTGTAAAGTTTAATGACAGCAAGGGAAAAATCTATGTCCCTGGACATTATATAAACCCCAACTGTATCAAAACAATAATACTCAGATAAGTGAGAGGCTTCAACTTACTGAACTATTCTTTGTAAGTCTTATTGAAACTGTGTGTAAGATGTGCTATCTACTAAATGACAGAACTGTAAATGAATAAATAGAGTGAAAATAATTTCAAAGGTCCATGTAAAGGTCTAAAATAGAATTGGGGATGAGATATGTGATTTCATTCTGTGTATGTGAACAGGTGAAAGCTGGAGCAGAGAAAGGAAACGTTGCATAGTGAATGGTAGCTTAAACTAATAGTGATTCCTTTTGAATGCAGTCAATTACAGAAAATATCTTTTAAGAATAATAACGAATAGTTTCTTTACCTGCCCATATTTTCATTTCTAGATCTTTTTCTTCTGTGTGTATTTGTTTCCATTTGGCATCAAATTTTTTGGCTTTTTTTCAACATTTTCTGTGCTGAAACTATACTGACAACCAATTTTCTCAGATTTTCATTTCTGAACGAACTCTCTGTATGTGTGTATGTGTGTGTGTGTGTATGTGTGTGTGTGTGTGTGTGTGTGTGTGTTTAATCAGAGAATTTACCTAATCCACTAGCTCGTTTTTTTTTTTTTTTTTTTTTTTTTTTTTTTTTTTTTTTGGGAGGGGGAGTGGGAATTGGAATACTTAAAATCTATTCTCCACTATTCTCAAATATATAATATACATCCAGAGAACATATATTTTTGTCCATCTTTAGTTGGGATAGAATTACAGGGTTTTTTGTCTTTTAGTATTTTAATGATGTTATATTTTTGTCTAACTATTTCTCATGAGAAAGCAGTGTCAATTTGTGTATATTCTACATTGCAATGTGTGTTTTTTCTCTCAGATTATTTCTTTAAAGCATTGGGTTAAGATATGAGTGATATATTGGTCAGCCTATTAAAGACTAGGACAAAATACTTAATAGCCGCAATTTAAAAGAGAAGAAATTTGTTTTAACTCACAGTATTAGAGGTGTCAGTCATGGTAAATTCATTCCAGAACTGAACTATGATGCCAAGAGGGTGTTGTAGAAGAATGCTGATAGACTCAAGGCTTCTAGGAAGCTGAGAGCATAGGAAGAAATAGAGAGGATGTGGTAGGGATTAGATAAACCTCAAG